CCCCCCCCCCCCCCCGCGGGCACCCCCTTTTTCCCCCCCCCCCCCCCCTAAAAAACCCCCCCCCCCCCCCCCCCCCCCCCCCCATGGCACACTATAGAGCAGTTTGGGGCCTGAAATAAACTCAGCCCTTACTCCACCCTCAGTGAAATCTCATTCATTTAGATAGATCCTCCTTTCAACCCCACAATGAAGACACAATGAGTAGGATTTTGTCGGTTGCAGTTTGTAAACAACGTTTAAGAGTTGGCCCCTCCTCCTCAGCTCAACAAGGGTCACGATGCTCACTAGTGGGTGACAGCAGACCCCAGATTCACCTCTCCACTTGGCGTTTCACATCGCTTTATTTAAAATACAGGCATAGGGCTGGGACACCGCCACACACTATAAGTGATGATTGAGAGGGATTATTTTCATATGAGTCTTGTTTTTAAATCCTACTCGTTGTGCCTTTTATTTTGCAACATGGCATTTTAACTCCTGCTCGTACATTACGATGGCTAAAAAGACCCTTTCCTAAACACAGTGCCCTCTAGTCAACAGTTGAAATAGTTGTAACTCTTCGCACTCTTGTGAACACTGATTACTGTCAGAAGAATGCAGCCGCCTTATCTTGCGCCCTCTCTGTTTGTTGCACATCTTCTATGTCTCGTCATATGGGGTGAAGGTCAATGCACAAAAAAAAAAAAGAGTTTCTCTTTCACACTCTAGCTTGCCGGCGGTGATTTCAACTCACTATCGATCCGCCGTTTCTTTATCTCTGGACTAAATGATTTCACGACAGCTTACAATGGGGGTGCCAGTCACATGTTTCATCAGTTAGTGCAATATTTACCAGATGACCACCGATCATCAGTTATTACAGTTGCTGGGCCACAGACCCGATCTGAGGGTTCGGTCAGCCGTGGGTGTGGTGGGTTTGGGAAGGGGGATCCGATAAGACGACATCCAGGTGGCTTCAACCGTGAATCAGCTCGACACGACAGGTGACACCAATTCAGAAAACAAACACATTATGAACATAACATGCTCGCGCGCGTTTGTGCACGAGCGTAGAGCTGCAGGGAGGGTGAACACAAGAGGACTCACTTCTACAAACCAGACTCACTGATATATTACAGCTGAATGACAATCAAGAAGTAATTATATATATCCTTCTCTCTTCAGAAAGAGATAATGCATTCCTCATTGCAAATCTATTCACACGTATAGGAATAGTTACTCATGTAGCTCTTTCTCACGCTGTTTCTACTTGCTACTCAGTGTCGGTGTTTCGTGATTAAGCCACGGACCGCTGCGGTACTGCTCGGTCTGGCACGTGCCGGATCCACACTGCATTCCAGTTGGCAGCGGTTAATGCACCATAATGTAGTTCAACTTTATTCGACTGTCTTATTATTATTATTTAAATGTGGTTAACAGCAGAGAAGCTCTCGTCAAAACGAGCGTCGCTTTGTTATTTTCTTCTCGGCAAACCGGTTAGAACTGGATTTTTTTTCGCGGTCACAAAATTCGGCTGCACGCCGACCCTGTGTGGATGACGACATTCACGTTGCGTGGGCCAACGCGGACCCTCGCTTAATAAAATATGAATTGGCCTTTATTAATTCAAGGTTGAATTGCAAACACCATTACTGCTGAGTAGAGACAAAGATATAGAGCGCAGAGGATATCTTTACTGTGATTATAATCTTCTTTTTGTTCAATATAAGCTCAATTCTGCTTTAGTACAAACTGTTTTTAGTGGTCCATCACCAATCTAAGGAGAGTCTACGAAGTCAGAAAGAAAGAGAGAGAGAGAGAGAGAGTTAATGCTTTAAATTTATATTTAAGTGTGAGGAAGTTGGTTTCATCTTATTTAGTTCAAATACACTTGTTAAACAAAGACGTTAACAGTTAATAAAGTTAGCATTGGGTTGGAAAGGTTGCCCAGTGGTTGACGTCAAGACATCCAAAGAATTTATTTTGCATTAAATGATTGTATAGTTGATATGATACTCTCGGACACCTGTAGTATAAAGTGAACACTTGCAAAGCCATGCTATTGGTGGGTTGGTTTTCCCCTTGGTTATATGGGAACATCAAGTGTGACTTTTTCCTTTCTCTATGCTTATTGTTTTAGTGTTTTGCAAACGTGTGCTGGTCTGTGAAAATTCAAGTGCAAAAGTTCAATAAAAACGTGCTTGTCTCCCGTCTTTTGAAACGTACAGCGATGCCGAGTTTTATTGGTCTCTTATACACAGTCTGCATGATTCTGGGAGTATTACTGATATAGATAGTAAGCCAAATGGTACAGAGGAGCTCATCATCTCCTTTAGGAAACAGAATCTGAATTATCAGGAAAGAGATAAAGTTAAAATCTCTTCATGGTGAATTAAATCCCCACAGTTTTTGATATTTAGGATATAAATGTAGTTAATTCATATTCTTACTTTAGCAACAACCGAGCTGCTTTGTATGATTTTTTTTTTTTTTTTAAACATGTCCGCTTTCACACTGATGCATACATACCAAACAACAAGTACTATATACTGTGTACTACAGAATATCCCTTCAGGGTATTGCTTCCTTTTTATGGACTGAAATGTAGAAAACAAAAGGGGTCACACCCGACTTTGTTCTCCCACATATACCATAACGCATTTCACAAGAACAACTGGTGCTCCGTTACTGAAGCACAGTGACATGATGAGTTCTCACACTATGGCAAATCAGAGTGCAGCCTCTTGCACAATACATTACTCTGTATGTAGTATCTGACAGTTTGCAGGTGAGGCAAAGGTTTCAGATAATATTCTAATATGAAAACAGACATTTCTTTTCTTTTTAAAGTACAAATTGCTCTTCATAAACTTCAGCGCATTTGTTTTAAGTAAAGAACAGAAATTCTTTTATGCTTAAGCTCTAGATCACACTATCGACGTCCATTACAACACAACAAGAGTGCCACAAGCGAGAGAAATGCATACAGCTGAGCCCCAAAAAGCTGTCTGCATGACTGGTTCATTTTTCTGATTGCCTCAACAATCATTAAGTTCTGCCTGAATGACCGCGGTGATGCTCATTTTACACCCGAGTGCAGCGTTCTCTCTATTCTGTGTACTGTCCGGTCAAATCACGAGAGTGCAGAGTGAAATGGAGGTTAATGAGCAGGTTGCAGATGGCATCCGGTCAGGGGGAGTAATATAATGAGATGGTCAAAGGCAATTAAAGAACAACCAAGAAAAGCGGAATTATGAATTATTACAAACAATCCAAAAAGAATCAGGAGCGAAGAAAAGACACGAAGAAGACCCAAGGGAGCTCATGTTCACCGGCTCTAAACTCTCGGATGCAGGTGTCACATTCCGGCTGTCCATCGAGCTGAGACAGATGAAGTGTTGCTGCACATTTACAGAACAGTACACACAGACAGTGAGCCAACCCGTGACAAGGAGAGAACGGAGGTCCAGCACTGGAGCCAGAGCAACGAGTATGAAGGGTATGTTAGGGTACGGCCGGAGGAAAGACGTGTGATGCTAAGAGAAGGATTACAGCTGAGGAGCACGCACACTGTGACCACAAGGTGGCAGCCAAGCACAAAAATACAACACTGCAGGGCAATGAATTGACTTAGCAGTCAACAAGAAAGAAATACATTGTTGGTGAAATAAAGACTGGGAGGAGTTTTGATAAATACGATGCTAGATTGCTTGTGTCCTACCTGCAGGTAGCGCGCCTGGTGAGCAGAGAGGGCCCCTCCCAGAGGAACCACCACTTTGTCCACACTGCGCTGGTGGGAATGGGCCCGGACGTCCGGGCTCTCTTCTGAACGCAGCTCAATGTGCGAGATGAGCAAATTAGAGATCACCGACTGCACCGACTGCAGGGAGGGAGTGAGAGAGGAGAAGGTTTGAATCGTATATACAGTAGAATAGTGAGACGGAGGATTTGCATTATTTGGTCACATTAGGCCAGAGAGACAACGGATAGACACAGATGCAGTTTATTGTTCTTGCCTTTGAATCCCCTCCTGGAGTTGCACTGAGGGCCAGGATGCGGAGCTGCACAGTCTGGCTGCAGAGCTGTCGGATCACCTGAGTAACAGAAAGATAGTACACAACATAGAACAGTTTATTGACTAAAAGTGTAAGAACGCAAACCTAAAGAGGCCCGTGATCGGAAATAGGAGTGAGAGATAAGTTAAAAGCCTCGGTAACCGTCAACTAGTAAAGTACATTTACTCACGTACTGTACTTAAGTACAGTTTTGTGGTACTTGGTACTTCTAGTCTTCCATTTTTTGCAACTTCATACTTCTACTCCACTACACTTTGGAAGCAATTATTGTACTTTTTAATGAACTGTACTTATTTGGTTAGTTTTCAGATTCAGATTAATACAAAATAAAAATGTTTTATTTTAGATAAACCTACCTGGCAGTATATGAAGTAAATAAATCAGCTCCGGCTTTATCAGTTACAATATTAAAGTGATAAAACCTGAATGCATCAATAATTATAATATAATATAGTACTTTTGAAGACAGGACTTTTACTTCAGAGTATTTCTGCACTCTGGTATTAGTACTTTTACTTAAGATGAGTACTTCTTCCCGCACTCATCACTATCAATGTAATAAAATTAATTAAGTAACTTGTTAGGCAAAATAACCAGATATGAATGTTCAATTTAGCTAGTGAATAAAATACTTGACAAATAAAGGTACTTCATTACATTAAAGCAAAATATACTATAAAATGTCCATGAGCATCTCTGCCCACAATGGTTTTGTAGTACAACCAGACATACTATAGGGAAAGCTTCCTTGGTACGCTATTTTGTCACATAACTCAAAGGAAATAAATTAACAAAAAATGAATAAAGTTTCAAACTGCTGTCAAGACGGCCTCTATTCTCTACAACAATGTTTCAAGAGTGAGTGCTACTTCGTGAGAACATCTTTTGGATGGATTATCGCTTTAAAAAGTCACTTTATTGCAGGTTCACAAGCAGAATTGGACATGGCAAGAAAAATATAACCTGAAAACATGACGCACTGTAATCATTAGTCACAGGTTGATCTACCTGACAGTAGGCATGGTTGCCCAGCGCCTTGTGGGCTTCGTCGATCACCACACACTTGACCTGCTGGGCCGGACAGGTGTCTCTGGACAGATCGTTCACCATGACCTGAGGGGTGAGGAAGAAGACGCGCTTGGTCCTCCACACCTCCTGTCTACGATTTGCTGCCGTGGAGCCTGCAGATAGGGGAGACCGACTCTCGTTAATAAAAGGGCTAAAAAGAAGAAAGATGGGTGTCACAGTTGTTGTGCCGTGATTGTTACCCGTCAGCTCGGCCATGTGTGCCTGTGGGATCCCCATCACGTTGTAACAGGCCTCGATCTGTTGTGCCACCAGAGGTTTGGTGGGAGCCATGAATACGATCTTCCCCGATGGATACCAGCGGTAGAAGTTGTACATGACCACAGAGGCGATAAATGTCTTTCCCAGACCCGTGGGGAGGCACACCAGTGTGTTCTGGAAGAGAGCAGCCTCTGACATCTTCATCTGGTACTCCCTGATGGGATAGTTGGTGGGGTAAATCCACACCTTAGCCGAGGAGCTGTCGAAGCCAGGGAGGTCTGGATAGGTTTGCCCACCTGACGGGACGGGAGAGAGGGCAGTGCTCTCTGTTCCTTCAGGGTTGTCATGTTGAAAACAGTTTGCATTATCAAGTCCTAGGCTCTTTTCAGCCTCATAAACAGCGACCAACATCAGATCATCATCTTCATCTTCATACAAAGGTCCAGGGTCCCCTGTCCTCCCCGGGTTCACTGTTGACCCCTGACCTATGTGAGCCCACAGAGGATTTTGAGGAAGGTGAGTTGTAACGTTAGCTACCTGCGCAGTGCTGCTCGGGGTTGTTGCTCTGCGCCGTGCAGCGGCTTTCTTGCCATCTGTTTTCGGTTGAAGAACTTTGTTTTGAGAGACGGGTGCACCCCAAGTCTGGAACAACGTCCTCTGATTTGAACCACTACTCATTTTCCATTTGTTGTGGCGGAAGAAATGTGAGGAAAAAGTGCCCCTGGCACGAGCAGCAACATTGTAACCTGACCGCCGGTATAAAAACAATGGGTCACTTCCGCCCACGTTTTACCAAAATAAGACACCACATATATAACGACGGTTTTACTCCAGCGTGATTTCGATCATTTAAATACAGTTTCAATGATGACACAATCTCTGTATTGTATGCACGTCAACATACCAAGCTAAGAGCTAAATGGGCACACGTGCGTTGTTACATTTAACGAGGCTTTTATTTTGTTGTGTGTGACACCGGAACAACATGAAAGGTTTGAGCTCGTCTCCCGCGCTCTTCGAGAGTAAACGCTGTCACGTTACCATAGCAATGGACAGAAGCAAGTGGGAGAAGACACTCACCTGCTTTCAGGTAATTTATACATTTATACCTAAAGTTAATAAAGTGAGTTGTTTGTTTGTTTGTTTGCTAGTTCGGGCTGTTTAGCTTGTTTGCTAACACTGGAAAACGACTGCTAACAGTAAAACGTTGCTATTGTTTTTAGCATTGACGTTAGCATTAGGTGGGCTAGCAGGGACACGTCGCCGTTACTGTAACGTTAGTTAGTTAACATTACTTTAACTCTCCTCTCTTCGGTAGGCATCTGCGCGTGGATACTTGGTGCGAGACGAAGTCCGTCGTACGCGAGAAGACTTTGAGGACATCGTGAGAGAGATTGATGGAAGCCTGACCCACGTGGAGTGGAAGGAGACGGTCATCGCTATCCCCCACTTCACAGACAATGTAGACAGCTTTAACCGGAAGTTTGTAAATCATCTTATCGGTGCCTCGCTCTCTCTCATGCCTGTGCTCGTGCATCTTCAGGAGGGCCCATTTCTACGAACCAGAAGCTCTGCAAGCAAACCTTCAAATGCATCGTCACCATCATCATCATCATCATCATCATCATCAGCGGAGAGAGGAGATCCTCGTGTCCTCCAGGAGAGGATAGAAGCAGAGAGAGATGATTGTGATGCTACAGCTGCTGCAGTGAGACAGAAAGAAAGCACCGAGTTGGAGAAAGATGGAGACTCCACCACCGTGTGGAGCAGTTTGGAGCTGGACATGAACTATGGTGACTCAAACAAAGGTGAGAGCTTTGCACATAACAGTAGCAGTTTATTAATGAAATGAGATTGCTTACTCTCCATTTATCATTATGTATTTATAACAGAGGTAGATTGCCTGCTATGTTGGGCTTCAACGAACAATTAGTTTCACAATCACAATTTCCAAGCACTCAATGAGATGCTTTTAAAAAAAATGTTTTTATTGTTTTTTGAATATGCAATTTGCAATTATATGATACTGGAAAGTATAATTGGAAAAGCTGGAAACAGCAAATGTTGAGTGATGAATCAGTGAATTGTTCAAGCACCAGTCTTGTTGTGTAAACACTGTGAACAATATCCATCTAGTTGATGATGGAATACAGAGGCTCTGGTTTGCTTAAAATAGATTTAAAAAAACTGTTTTACTTATTTAAAACAGGGATCTGCTTCAAAGCCTTTAAATTAACTTTAAAGAGGAGCAATATCATTGCAAAGAAGTTCATTCATTTCACCACATTTTGAGGGTTTTCAATGAAGAATAACCAAAAAGAGAAGTAAAAAGAGAATCTGTGTGTACAGGATTAAGTAAAAGTTGGACTTTTGTGTAAAACACATGTGATTGCAAACCGATTCTCCTCCTGTAGAGTAGATGCCTTATCAGTCATGTTGAATTTGCCATCCTTCCTTCAGCTCCCCGGCAGTCCTGTGCCCCAGAGGCCCTGCGTCTGCACAGAAACACCCTGACCATGGAGCTGGTCTGGCTACAACAGGCCATTGGCAGCAGGAAGAAGGTGAGACGGAGGAAGTGATTGGTTCCCTGCATTTATTTAGCAGCGGCGGTCTCCTGCTGTAAGAAAATTGCCTCTCCTTCAAGACAGAATTTATTCAGTGACCTCAAAAAGAAGTCAGTACTGTCATTCCAAGAAGCATCCGAAAAAATACCTACATTGTAGGTATCCGTGAATAATAACCATTGTGTATCTGCAGCACCAGTCGCTACTTATTGAACAGCTATGTACATGATTCAGCCTGTTTTTCTTTTTATTAAGTGCATACATCTGTCATGCTGTTCCTTAGCATATTCAGCAGCCTGCACCCTTTGCACACAGACTGTGTACCAATTGAATCCCTTAATTTATCTTACAACAAAATGTTTTCATGAATCCTACATCACTGCTCCCACGTAGCACCCTGCAGCTCCAGGGGGTGTAAAGGTGCCAAGATGTGGATTCATGTGCACGAAGAACACTTAATGTAAAGAAATGCAGCTGATGTCAGAGAAAGCAGGATTTACTCAAACTTTTTCATGAAAGTTTTTCCCTTCTCTCTTCTACAGTACTTGTCACTGAAGGACAGGCTGAGCGTATCCTGACGGCAGCAGTGATGTGAACTGGACTCGATAATGTGGGACTGAAGGCCTGACTGCTGTCTGTTAACTGAACTTTTATTGTACATCAACAAAGACGCCGTAAATAGATTGCTTTCAGTGGCATACATCATGTGTTTGACAAAAAGCTGTACATTGGATATATTATTTGCTAATTTAATAAATGAATAAATTGTATTTTTCTAAAAAAAAAAGTCTCCTTTCTGCTGTTTGCTGATATTGCGTCATACGGTAGTTACTGTTGTGTGGGACGGCTCACTCAGGGGAGAGATCCTCTGCTCGGGACAACGCATGGTGTGACTCAAAGAAGCTCAAATTTCCTACAAATATTCACAAGTCTCCTATGAAGCTGCTGTTGTCTTTTGGTATTATTGTCTTGATAGAGCACCCACAGGGGGAAGCTTTTAAATACAAAAAACAGAATAAAAATTGCAGCCCTGCTCCTAAAATTGCACTGTTTAAAAAAAAAAGTCTTTGTCTTATTTCAATGTTCTTAAGAGGTTTTCAGTAATGGTTTTATCACCTGCTGGTTCTTGCACTTGCTGGGAATTCTAATATGCATGACATATTTTTGCAATTATTTTTTGGGAAAATACAGACAACTGGGTGAAGAGGTTATCTTATTGATTCAGCTCACAACACAGTGACCCACTCGTTCTCTGCTCCTCCCGTCCGCCTCTTTTGTTGAGGTTGCTGCCGATGGTTTGGCCCACAAAGCCAGTCATTGCTGGCCACGCTGCCATAGCAACCAGGAAATACTCACCGCCGTCAGTGGAGTAGTGTGTGAATGTGTGTGTGTGTGTTAGGGGGATAGATAGAGCAGAACGTGGTGAGCCGGAGTCCAGATGGACCACAACAACGCAGGGGACTGATTTTCACCTTTGCCTTCAAATTCTACGATTTCCTCGCTTCGTCGTCCACTAAGGCTTGTGAGTCACTGAGTATTGTATTAATGTGTGACTTGAAGAATGTGGCATGTGAATGTGTCTGGTGCATGAAGAGGGTCGGTAACTGCCACTCCAGGCTCAGTGAGTGAACTTACATGCATGTGGGAGAGAATGATAAGGTATGTGGATTCAAAAAACAGCCTTTTTAAAACTGTGTCTGTGACTAACAGCCGGCTCATAGATGGCTGCCACCACCGCAGCCACGATTCCCCTGCCTCCAGTGAAGAGCGTGGTGGTGTATAAGAATGGAGACCCCTTCTACAGCGGACGGAGGTTCGTGGTCAACCAGAGGCAGGTGGCCACCATGGAGGCCTTTCTCACTGAAGTGACCCAGGCCGTCGGGGCTCCACTCGCCGTCAGGACTCTGTACACCCCCAGCCAGGGCCACAGGGTCACAGACCTCCAGGGCCTTCAGACAGGAGCCCAGTATGTTGCTGCTGGCTTTGAAAGGTTCAAGAAACTAGAGTGAGTAGGCCTACAATAACTACTTACTGTGAAATCAATTTAATGTAGCAGACTTCTGTCTCTAAGATGAAATGAATTTAGAATGAATACTTTTTGGTGTTTGGAAAAGAGGTGTGAATATATATATATATATATATATATATATATATTTATATTTTCTTTTATCGTATCTGTTGTTTTGATGTTTAGTTACTCGAACGCCAGAACAAAAAAGCAGCCTGCTGCCCGTGAAGAAACCCAGGTAGGCTTTTATTTTGTCATGTGTCTTGCTTTCAAGGCTAACAGCACAGTCCATCACTGATTAATCAGTCTAACCAGAAGGAATGCACCACCATGCAGGCTGCACTGTACTCAAATCAGTTTCATCTTTTTGAACTTCTGCCAAATCAAATGTGAAAATGTGTACAGGACTTCCCATTATCGAGACAAGCTCTCATTTGCCTCTAAATGTGAGCACACATCGTTGTGTTAGCGGTAGTTAGATTAGGACCAGCCTTTGTGCTGACCGTCTCATTGATGTCACTGCTGTGTAAATTACAGGAAACAATCGTGTAATGATTCTGCTGTTCATCGACTTGCGGGGCGCCCTTTTAAAGGTCTTGTGTGACATTAGATTGAGTAGTTACCGCTGGATATTGTCGTAGATCAGGAATTCCCAGAGTATCAGAGGTTATGATCATTTCCACCGAGAAAATACTCTGAATGAATCTGAAGTCTTTTCTCTTTTGCTTGTTTGATGATGATGGTAGTATCATGCAGGCAGGTGCTCTCTTAACATTCACACAAAAATAGATTTGAAACAAGTACGCACACAAACACTCACGCTGACAAGTGCTGGCTTTGTGTTCTGACCAGCTGGCAGGAGGTGACCGTTTGGTTTTTCAGACGCAGAGTGTGCCCTCAGTCTTAAGAAATCAGTCTTACTTTACTGAAAAACATGAAAGGAGCGGAGAGTAATTGTGTGTGCCTTGGGCGTCTGCCATTTTGCTTCTTTGGTTTTAAAGTCTTACATGCCTGTGTTGTGGTTGCTGTGGAGCAATGCAGGAAGTGTGTCCGTGAGTGAGTTGTGTTTGATCCCGCTGGTGGAACAAAGAGTAATGCTTCCACGCAGTGTTATCGGGGCTATGTGCTTGTCCGGACGGGCCTAATGCCCATTTCCACCGCCCCCACGTCTCCTTCTCTGCTCGGAGACACTGTAAACGCATTAAACGGCTGCCACTTCAGAGTAAAAACAATAAGGGAAGATTATCAATGTCTGGTTTGTTCAGAGCTGATTGATTTAGTCCAGCTGGCAGACACGGATATCGGCGTCAGAGGTCATTGATATGGGACGACATGGGCTTCGACAGGAGCCTTCAGATCAGACTGTGAATGTGCGATTGAAGGAGTCTTGGAGTGACGTTTGTCTCCTTGGCTGCAGCACTTGTGCCGACATGAGCGGAATAGTTAGTCAGTCATTACACATTTAGGATGACTGATTTTTCTGTGATGGACGTGCAGTGTAATTGATGTGCACGACATGAATGATGTACAACTGATTTTGTAATTTCTCTGAGAAAATGCCAGCATTATAATGTTTTGCAGTACCACGCATGTGATTTCTTTGAATTATCGTCTGCAGGCCAAAGTAACCCAGAGGCCAAATGTTTCAGCCAAATGGAGGAAGTTTATACCTCTGCCTTGCATTTTACAGTGAGTTGGACAAACTATGAAAACACACGCACAATGAATTACTGTGTTTCCCAATTTTCCCTTTTTAACCATGCTAGCTGCATGACTGTTGGGATGCAATGTCAGTCCACCGACAGAGGAGCTCTCAGAGAATGAATCCTTTTTTTTTCATGTTCCCCTCGGGATGAATTGTAATAATTTCGGAAATAACTCTGACTTTTCATATAGTGCCACAACATGAGATCAAAGTTTTTATTTGTCCAGGGAAATTTTGCAATAAAAAGATTTTATCTCTGGAAGATGCCCTACTAAAGTCCCAAAGCTTTGCCTGAACTTTAGAGTGCATTTCTTCTCAGAACAAGGATTGTAGATTTTGTTCCCCATCTCTTAGAGCATTAGTATAGTATCTTGTCATGGCCACTATAGACAGAAGGAGGTGTTTCATTGTACATATGGGCTTGAAATGTAAAAAAAACAACCCTTTCTGTACAGCGTTTTCCGCAATGGAGATCTCCTGTGTCCACCATTCCGGTTCATCATTCCTCGGAGCATGCAGCAGGACCTGGAGAAGATCCTGAGTCTGATCACAGAGAAGGTCAGCCTACGAACCGGAGCTGTGCGCAGGTCAGTGGCACTTGACAGATAGTCACATACACATGCACTCTGTAGAATACAAATAGAGGAGGCGAAATCTCACCCCTAACCCCTGTGCTCTATCAGGTTGTGCTCTTTGGAAGGAGCGACTGTGTCCTCAGCTGTGGAGCTGGAGACAGGCCACTGCTATGTTGCTGTGGGAACCGAGAGGTTCAAGAAACTTCCGTATGTGGAGCTGTTGGTTTCAAAAGCCACAGAGAGGTATTGTTGTCCACGGCCCTTTGTGAGCGTCTGTAAAGACGTGTGTTTGTGTGCTTCGTTGCTGGCTGCTCTGCACTCTAAAATGAAATGATTGTCAGACAAGACGGAACATGAACAAAAACATCTTTTCACATGAAAGTGGCTTTCTTTATTTTGTAGATATAACCAAGGAAAGAGAAGGCTAAGGAGAAATGAGGTACCTTTAGTTAATAATGTAATTTTCCCACCCCCATGTCTTAAAATAGTCTGCAGTTCATTTGCAACATGTGTCAGGTGAGAGCAACATGCTGTCTTGTATAAGTCTTGTGTGTTTCTCTCAGGACAGGAAAGCAAGGAGCGGTCCAGAAGACCAGTACAGTGACTCACTCCTCGACTCCCCAGAGGTGAGAAACAACCCCCCCTCTGTCTAACACTACAAGAGCCATATATAGAGACGGTTCATTTGTTTGGCCTATTCTGCCCAACACATTCAATGCACCAGTGAGACAAACTGTGCAGAGGGTATTTTGTGCCCGTCCATGATATTATAATTATTCAGTTGCATTCCATGAATTTCAGTCAGATGGCCGGAGGGTGAAGTCGACGGGAGATGAAGCTGCAGCTCCAGCAGCCGCACAGCAGAGGAGCAGGAGAGAGGCCGCAGACGAGACCTCCGCGTTCTTCGCCAGGCCGGTCAAGATCCGCAACTACAGGGGACAGCCAAGACCACCACCCAGCCATGGATCTGGTTGGACTCCCCATCTTTATACTTCTGATTTTAAATCTAACTTCTTCACATTCACAATGAGTGTGAGGCATTGTGTGTTAATCGTTATATCAGCAGCGTTCTGATTTCTGTTCATTGCAGTCCAGCCCAGCGTGTTTAAACGAGCAGCACGGAAGAGAAGAGAGGAGGTACGAGGGGCAGAGGAGGTGCACGAGGATGAAAACACAGCTACAGAGCTGCCTGTTGACCAGGTTTGCTTTAACTCACGTGTCGTTTCGGCCTTATAACCACACAGTGCGACGCGTGAATTGAATGGCAAAAATACCAGTGAAGGAGGTTGAATTAATTGCTGAAAATATGTTCAAAGCAGAGGTTTTTCTAAACCCATCTCTCTCATGTTTGTCTAAAGAGAGCTGCAGAGATAGTGGAGGATGAGGAATCAAACAGCCGAAGCACACAGCAGGTAAACCAAACAATCCTTTCATGTTCCAAGTGAATTTATTAGCTTCTTATCTAAGTGGAGATGTTTACATTCACTCTTAAAGTACAATGTAAGGACAATTTCTCTACAAAGTGGAAATAAATTGAGAAAAGAGAATTGAGAAAATTGGAAAAGACATGGATCCATGATGATTAATTGATGTATCCATGCATTATGGTGCCCTTTGTAAATTACAGTCAACAGTTAAAATATGAATATGTGACACGTGATACTGTATTCTGCATGTGGGGGGCAAAAAAATCACATAAATCCTTATTTGTTTCTCTCAAGAGACATTCACAAATTATAGAGAGCGAGCAGCACAATGGGAGCGAACACCCACACAAACACAATGGAAAACAGGTACAGTATACATTTGAGTGGGTGTTTACGTGTCTTAATAGAAAAATGTTTAGATTTTTTCTAAATGGGTTCACAACAATATATATTATTTTCCTGTAACAGACTCCGTCATCTGAACAAGATGGTGTTAAACAGACAGAACATTCTGCTACGACTGAGGAGTCTGCTGCTGAAGCACTGGTATACCAATGCACACACACTGCCGTCAGCTTCCATTCAGACGTACATGGACACACAAACTAGTCAGAATTCAATGCGTGTCTCATTTCAAAAGGAGCCTGAGCCGAAGCAGACGTCTTCAAAGTCAAGGCCTTCGTCATCAGCCTCTCAGCCACAGAGCGGGGAAGAAAAGGCAAGTGTACTTACCTCACAGCCTATTGACCAGGCCCAATGAGAACGTGTGCTTGATTGCTTTTTTTTTTTTCTCTGTTTTAAATAATCTGCTTGAACAGGAGAGCCTACAGACCCATCATCAGGAGGACTAGTGAATAACGAGCACGGAGGATTCATCACAGAGGTCACATCATCATAACAGCAGATGACTTATGCGGCTGAATGAATGGTTTGATTAAATTGGTAATACTTTGACTGTGGTGATGAAACGAGCAACATCATTAATTTATGTTTTCTTTTAGAAAAAGCAAGAGTCAAAAATGTAAAGAGGCTCAGACATCATTAGAACAAAGACTACAAAAGATGGACGCACTATCATGAGTTCTAGTTCAATACAGTCAGTCAAAACTGTACTTTTATGACATTATAGGACACGGGTCATTCTGATGCAGATAGTGTGTAGCTGTTCAATGATGCAGTTCATTCCATATACAATATGTACACAAGAAACAATATTTTTGGTACATTTTAAGCCTGAATGTATTTCTGATCTGCAGAAATCAGTGAAGGAGATCATCGTGTTTTTTCCAACAATTTATTAATAAAATATCAGCCACATCACAAGCTGAATAGATGCAACAATAACGAAGTCGTCTGTACAGTGTTTTGTGTATACTGTGACAATAAAAAAAAAAAAATATATATATATATATATATTACATATTACTATGTACATTTCCATTATTCCTGAAATCTGTACAACTTGTTCAGACACATTTACAGTGAACACAGGCAGCCGCAGTAAAATGTCCCCGTTACACCAAGAAGTTACATCACATTGGCCCATTTTAAGCCCCAGCCTTATTTGTATGTGGCCTCCATAGCATTTATGCAGCTGCCAGTCACATGGCGGGGCTTAAAAGTTAACAGCCACCAACTTCTATGCAAGCACCGTAAATCTAGTCTGGCCTTGAGGTGAACCTGACACGAACCCACTTCCCATTCAACTTGGTGTGAGGGTTTCTGGACAGGTCTTTAGAAGCTCATGTTGACTTAATGTAGACACAATTCTCTCACCAGAGCCGTTACTCTTAGGAGTCACTGTCTGAATCTAAATGGCCCCCCTCTAGTCCTGATCCAACTCTGCTTCGGCCATCTTCCCTCCCTGGCTGAGGAATCACTTCAACATACAGGAGAGTTTGTTTCAATCCTTATCTCCGTTAGTGTGCAGCCTGCATGTTATTCTGCTTCTCAGCGTCTTTGCCATCAATGGAGCTTATGACACACAGAGTGATGCCCGCCATGGTGAGGAACATTCCTGCCACAGCCTCTGCAGGGAGAGAGAGAGGAGCGTGGGGTAGGACATGAACGAAACATCAGAACACAACCAGTACAGTATTTTTTCAAGCAGATGAGGGAATTAACTGTTCAGTGATGTCTTGGCATGCCAGTCAAGTAATGTTGAGCTAATGTTACTTGAGTCTTGCTTATGCGAAACCTCCGAACATGTTCTGGAAGCCAAATGTTTGACTCTAAAGCTTGTAGCATTCCCAGATTTGTCCTTGTGGGTTATCAGCATCACTTGCTGTGTGTGACAAGCTAGTGTATGCAAATGAGTCACTTACGTTTGCCTCCAAACTCTTCACCCAGTAACTTGCCAGTGAACAGAGTGCAAAGGAAGGTGAGAGAGTTGGCCACAGGAACAGCCAGCGATAACTCTGCAGAAGAGAAGTGGGGAGAACTGGATATAATATTCTGCTACCAAAAAATAAACTAGTTAGTTGCAGCACTGGGTCAGTTAAACGGATTTGTTTGAACTTTCATGGCACGTAAACTAATGTTTACACAGAATGTATGCATCTCTATCTTTCTCCCGCAATGATGATTAATGATGATATATTTTAGGAAGTTATGCAGAACGAAGAGGTAATATTTTAGTGCTAGTTTAGAAAACATGTTTATTGGTTTCTCAGTAAGAGTTACAATTCTCTGTCTGTTTTTGTAGGCTGTTATTGTGCATGCTAGCTCGCCGGGATGATTTACTGGCACCATCAGATTGTCGTGAGGTGTGTGTGTGTGTGTGTGTGTGTGTGTCTCACCTGTGGTGGAAAGTGTATAATAGTAGACCAAAGAGCCACTCTGGTTCAGGAGAAATGGGACCAGGTACTGTGGAGAAAGAAGCTCAATTAAACTAATTGTAAGGGGAAAAAGTCAGAATTTCAAAACATGCACACTGGCAAACAAAATAACTGATCTCAGGGTTTACCTTGAGGTTTAGGAAAAGAAACTTGACCTCAGCCAGGAGCTGAGAGACTCTGTTGTTGTGTTGCACGTGTTCAATCCCCTCCGTGCCTCTCTTCAGGAAGGGGTTGGTGCAGCCCCACAGCACCGACACCAGCAGGAGGCTCAGCAGCTCCACTGCAATACACAACAATCACCACGTCGCAGAATACCCGGTAGTGCAGTTAGCACCCTTGCTACAAACGTCTTATATACAGCCTATGATGCTAACGCTAGCTTACTTCCTTAGCGTTAGCTCTAATGTGTTAGCTATGTTTGGCTCAGTCCTGTTATTATTCAAGCTTAAGAGGAATTGATGCTTAAGACTTATATATTCGGTCTCAAAATACAAAACATACTTGGCAAATGTTGTGATTTTGTTGGGACACTCACCTACGGTCACCATTGTAATGTAGACGTTCACCGTCAAGACGCATTCAAGACTGCTCAGTTTAGTGAACATTACGTAAATGGCCAGATTAACAAACAGTTGCAAACCTATTCATTTATTCACTTACCTAACCTGGAACCATTTATTTATAGAGTTTTATCAGAGTTGAAAATGTATTAAATAAAGCACCGGACGATTTTGTGTGATGACTCTTTGTTAATGATTCTTGTTCATTTTGCAACGTTTCTTGTCACCTTGAATGCCGCTTAAGGTTTTTTATGTTATGGTACCAAAAGGTACCAAACGAGGGCGCGATAACTATCAATAACTCAACAACACCATAACATGCAACATACACCTCACTCCTCTTTTCTTTTCACTCTTTTGAGGTTTCATATGATTTCATCATATCATTTTGTCCTCTGTACATATGACACTTAATTTTAACAAACAGGTCTGCTACAAATATTATATTTTATTTTCATCTCATTTCATTTAAAGAACCACAAACAATACAAATACAGAGAGCAATGAAAATAAAGTGCAAAATCATTTGGCGTCAAACTAAAAAAGGCTTTACATCACCGTGTTAAGCTGACACCCAGATGTCTCAAAATATCTCTATGGTCTCTTTGTTATACAAAGTACAAATCACACTGACAATTTATAGATTTCTTTAACGAAAACTAATCTGAGAAAATCTGTGACCAGAAGACAAAGACAGTATAATGCAAGGTTAAGCAGAATAAAGTATGCAATATCAACACATTTTTCTCAAACATATTGGTATCCATTACACACTGAGATCTTTCTTACTGTCTTTGTCTTCTCTGAAGTCTATACTAATTCTACATTTACTCATGAACTTATGTGGTCATCGTTAATACAGAAATGTACACACTAAAGCGCATTACAGTCTTTACTACACATTTTCTTCATTGTATTAGAAGTGATCTGCAAAGACTACAAGCAGTGAGAAACTTCTGGCATCTATGCTCTGAACACTGACTGTAGCCAAAAAGCAATCTCAGTTTCCCATCATGCAACATCCTTCATGCAATCCACCATGTCTGTTTAAGGTACCATTTTGTTCATGCCCACCACAAGAACATCTCGGTATCGTTGCAGTGACCAGCAGTGGCTCAGTTGGTGGTGATCGACAGTGACGACACTAACGTCCCAGGTCGAGTTTCCACTGGATTCAGTCAGCACACAGCGTATACGGTCAGGGGTGAAGATGACACATCGCTCGGTGCTTGTTGTGAGACTAAAGCACAGTCTTGTTGCTATGTGTTTCCTGTTGATGGAGACTCATTTATGGTGATCGTAGTGGATTCACTGATGGTGCTTAACTGCTCTGTGTGGTTTCCCTCCATGCTGTTCAGCTCCCCTCTGGGCAGCTGCAAGTCGCTCTCTGAGACTGGGTTTGAACTGAAGATGCTGCTCGACACAGAGCTGATTCCTATGGGGGTCAGCGGACTGCTGGTGTTAACTGTGGATTGTGACATCTTCGGACGGGGTTTGGAGCCCCCTCTGGCTCCCAGGACCCTGGATTCATGTGTCCGCCTGGCAACAAATAAAAACCATGATGTTACTTCACTCACATGCTATGTAGTAAGCTGTCATTTAGCGAAGTGGCATGTGATGTTCAGTAATTGTTTATCCATAAGTTGTGCTCGGCAGTTGCATAGAAATATGGCAGATATTCCCTCAGACCTTCTAATCTTATTTTGCTAGTCGGGCTATTACTTCAACCAGACACAGTGATCATATAAAATGACAATAAGAAGACGAATAAGAAAGAAAGGTGTGGGTATTTTTTCGTCAAAACTGAATAAAAGAACCCACTCTTCACTACTGAGTCCCAACCTTTATGGCTTTTGTCCCCTTAAAATGAATGTCTACATGAGAGTAGATTCATCATTTCTTACCTCATATCAAGTTTGACATATCTATCAGTTGTGAGCAGTTTTTCCAAAGTGTTTTCTTCTTAAATTGTTTCATTTGAATAACTTTAAGATGACCGAAAGAGTAGTAGAAAAGTAAGACAAAATGAATCGAATTTTCTTTACATTCTTTATATAATTTTTGTCATTTGGATTGTCTATACAGTGATTGTATTATATTGGTTATTATGTTTGTACGTCTAGGGAAAGGAATCCCTCCAAAGTTGCTCCTCCTGAGCTTTCTTCCACTCTTTCCCTGTTAAAGTTATTTTTGGGTGGTTTGTACTTAAGTTTGTACTTATCTGAAGCCAGAGTTAAAGAACAAAGGGTAATTTTCTTTACAGATTGTAAAGCCTCTTGAGGCAAATATGTGATTCATGATATTGGGCTTCATGAATAATATTGACATGGCCTGGAGAAGACATAACACTGAATATCTTCCGTCTTGTGGGTCGAGTCTTTATACCGACAAAGTCACGTGAAACCTTGGATGACTCCAGCTGGGTATAAGTTCCGGTGTCATCCCTGAAATCAGTCCATTTTGTTGGCAGCTCCATGTGGTCTGTCATTTGCATGGCACTGGCACGCCTGCATAAGATATACGGCAGCCAGAACCTCCACCTGCTGGTGCCTTCTTCAGGCGGCTTCCCGCCCCCACCACCTTTACTGTTCCTCCCTCTGAAGAACATCTGAGGGAGTTGCATGCATGGAGGGACACCAAGGCTCTCTCCTGTCTTACATCAGATGGCCAAACCCTGACAGCCATGCAGGATGCAGCAAAATTTGGCCTCTCAGCTTCTCTTCAGCAGGCTACTTTCGACGCTTCCTCCACCAGCCTCAGTGATGCGTCATTGCAGACGTTTGCGCTCATGTCGAGGGTGCATGGGCATCTGATGTCCACTCTGGTTTAACCAGGTTTGGCCGGCGCAGTCACCCTTGTAGACATGCAGGTGGACCCTCCGTACTGTCCCAGTGGAACCTGGGGAGCTGTTCGGTTCAGCTGCTCTACAGGCGCTTCAGTGGACTGTTCAAGCTAGTCAGACCAGGCAGCAGTTCTCTGGTCTTCGCAGGGACATGCATCCACCCTGCAGGGTCCCACGTTGGCCCCCCTAGGGCACTTCCAGCCGCCAGCTCACCCCAGTAGCCGCCATTGGCCTCAGTGCCCCGCTGAGAGGCCAGTCCGCTACCAATGCGACCCTACCCGCTTGCCTTGTGCTTCCATTTGGACTCTCCCTCTCCCCACGAGTGTTCACAAGGCATGAAGATACTGCCGTACCTGAACGATTGGCTAATTTGTGCGCCATCCCGGGTTCATGCGGCACAGGAAACTGCTCGCCTTCTCTCTCACGTGGCACGGCTGTGTTTGCGTAAACTCTAGATTCCGTAGGACTGATCTCAGGGATGACACCCGGAACTTATACTCAACTGGGCTCATCCGAGGTTCGCCAGACGAAAGATATTGAGTGTTAAGCACTGGCTCTGGCCAGGATTCATAGAACCGTAGTTACATCTGTAACTTTTCATTTAAAATTATTTTGTTTATCTCTCAAAACAATTTTTCTGTGACCCCTCAGGTTTATGGTACAACCCCTTGGAGTCCCCAGCACTCATGTTGGCAGCATAATACTGAATAGGTTTACCTCCTCAGGGTAAACAATTGAAAGAGCAATCTAACATCATGGAGAAGGAAATGCCACCGGTTGAATGTGTCCTTTGAAAACTATAGGAATATGTTGATATGTATGATTGTTTTATTAGCCTGATGAAAAGATTAGAAACAGCAGCAAGTTCCCAGTGCCTCTTGAAGTGGATAAAAATAGCATTGTTTAATTCACTGCTCGTGACATTCGCTATGCAGTAATTGTCCTGTCAAACAGAAATGAGGCCCTACCTGTTGTACGTCTTCAGGATTATCAGGAGAATGGCGAGAATGACGATGATTCCTAAAACGATGACAGCGATCATTGCCCCCGAACCTGAGAATACAGTGAGAATGAGTAATTAACATGTTGAAAGGCTGTTTTCAAGTCAAGTGCGTGTCTTCTAAGATTGCTTCATGCCGTGCAACTCATTCTGTGTATTTTCCAGAAGTAGTTTGTCGTAGCTTAGCAACAGACAAACAGAACAAATATGTCCTATAAAATGCACGGGGGTGACTCCTGTACAAACCATCTAGATTAGACTGCATGACGCAATAGGTTAGTATTAATGAGGCTTGTCTTATCTTTTTCTTATGTTGTAATCACTGCCATAGGGGACACTCTAAAATCTGATGGTGTCCACAACAAACAATTCATTCACAAGGGCGTGTTTTATCAATATCCAATTCAAGAGGACAAGGAGACAAAGCAGACATGCCGGGACACACACACACACACACACACACACACACACACACACACACACACA